GACTTTTGCTGGTAGCCTAATGTTGAGGTATAACCAGTACCTGGCAAGAGTTCCAAGTAACCCCTGAAAGCACCCCATGCAAAGCTTGACATCAGTGTAATTCAGTTTTATAATTGCACCTGTTAACATTAGGTGTTCTTATTTTAACCTGATAGTCAGTAAAGGAAAGATATAGCTAACACAGAAGGACTGAAAGTGATCAGCTTCCTTGGGAGATAATAAAATGATAACAGCTCTGTGACTGATGCTGTGATGCATTTCTAAGATCCCACTGAAGGAATGGACTTACTCCCTGCAGGTGCTGGGAGCCCTCTTTATTTTATTTATTTATTTTTGGAGACAGAGTCTCACTTTGTTGCCCTTCGTAGAATGCCATGGCCTCATAGCTCACAACCACCTCAAACTCTTGGGCTCAAGTGATTCTCTTGCCTCAGCCTCCCAAGTAGCTGGGACTACAGGCACCTGCCACAACATGGGGCTATTTTTAGAGACAGGGTCTCACTCTTGCTTGGGCTGGTCTCCAACCCATGCATCCACCTGCCTCGGCCTCCTACAGTGCTAGGATTACAAGCGTGAGCCATCACACCCTCTTTAGAGATTGCTTTTACTGAAGAGAGTTGCCTTATTAAACATCCTCCCACACCTCCTAGGGATAGCCCACATCCAATTACTGATCAATGTAGGTATATAAAGTCCAGGACCTCTTTAGCTGAAAACAGCTTTGAAAAGCTATTCAAACTTCAAAGGTCCCAGTGGGTTTATTGAGGACTTTGTAGGGAAAACATTACAGATAAACTTCTTTCTTTCCCTAATCTACATCCTTTCCCTTCCTTCATAGGTGCTGATCCCAAGAGAACTCCTTCATAAACATCTTATACATCAATCTCCATGTTAGGGTATCCCAACCTATGAAAACCAAGCTCCTTCCTACCTCAGAGTATTAGCACTATTAGTGTAACAGTAATCACCAATTCTTCCTTTTGCCTGTTGTTTTAATTCACAATTACTGGGTTGAATAGCTTTTTATTGTTGCCTTTCTTTGGGGAAGCTGTTTACAACAATGATGGCTACTCACTTCATCATCTCCTTGAGATTCCCCCACCCCTCTCTGGAGTTCTGAGACACAATCAGCTTGGAGAGCAGATTTTCACATTTGGATGCAACAGCATCTACTGCTGGGGCTAAAACATCATTGGTAATAATACACTTTGCTTTTGAAGATTGTAGTCTGTAGAGGATATCTTTCTGGGTCAGCTGAGTGGTTCCTGGAATTAAAACTGTACCTAAAGGAGTAAAAAAAAAGCAATGTTAAAAGAAAGGTTACTCTTCATCATGTTAATAGATAGTGTGTGTATGTTCTGTATTTCTCAAAATAAATTAATCTATTTGTTAGTAAAGATATTTATTTGTTACTTAATCTTACTTTATCTACTTTTGCCTTTCAATAGAGTTCATGACCATTTTGACCTAACATGAAAGAGTATTAAATGCTGGATAATTATATTTTATTTGAAGACCATTCATAACGATAACTTGAAGGGGGTTTTGACCTCTTGGTAGAAAGGAAAGCATCTGCAAAGGCTCTAGGCAGCAATAACTTAAAGGTTTGAGAAAATGAAATATAGAAAAGAGTTTGAAAATTAAAGTATAATATGATAGTTTGTTGTTGGCACTGGGGACTATAGGACACATTTCTCTGAGAACTTAGAAATGAAGGAAATGGCTCATGTCTTCCAAGAGCTAAACTATAAACCCTATATAAAATAGATCAGAAACAGATAAGCAAAATCACTGTAACTAGGCATAATGATTCACAGAATAGCAAGACTAAACTGTATCCTGACAAATGATAAATTAACAAGTAATTGTTCTCAGAAGCGGGTATTTCAGCCACAGAACATAGAAAAAGTATATTTACTGGAGCAAATTGTGACAGTACCCATTCAAGCCTGTATAGGGAAGAAATCTATGCTGGGGAATTTCATATACTTCATGTGTATTATGGTTTGTTGGATAAAGTGGCCCCTACCCAGTACCCACATTTGCACTGGCCTATTTTCATTTTCTCAAACCTACTAGTTATTTTCTCAGTCTATAGTGGGACCCTTCCTATACACTGTTGTCTCTTGTCATGGTCCTTGTCACACGTACCACACTATATGTTAACTCATGAGATTCTCCCACTGGATCCTTAACCTCATAGCTCCTGAAAACATAGCAAGTTCCCAGTAAACCTTGTTGCCTGGAAGAATAGATGAGTATAGAGAGATGGGTGGATAACGGTAGAGGACTATAGCAGATGAGTTTAGAAGACTTTCAAATCCTGATGCAAATAAACTGAATTATGAACATCACTTGTGGGCAGCACTTTTGGCTTGGGGAGTAGGGCACCAGCCCCATATGCTGAGGGTGGTGGGTTCAAACCCAGCCCCGGCCAAACTGCAACAAAAAAATACCTGGAGGGTGGCACCTGTGGCTCAAAGGAGTAGGGCGCCAGCCCCGTATGCTGGAGGTGGTGGGTTCAAACCCAGCCCTGGCCAAAAACTGCAAAACAAACAAACAAAAAAAAAATAGTTGGGCATTGTGGCAGGCACCTGTAGTCCCAGCTACTCAGGAGGCTGAGGCAAGAGAATAGCCTAAGCCAAGGAGTTGGAGGTTGCTGTGAGTGGTGACTTCACAGCACTCTACCGAGGGTTAATAAGTGAAACTCTATCTCAAAAAATAAAATGAAATAAAATAAAAATAAAATTTTTTTAAAAAAGAAGAAATTATGAACATCACTTATTCTGAACCCATATGCACCAACTAAACTTCTAGCTAATGGGCGGCACCTGTGGCTCAGTGAGTAGGGTGCCAGGCCCATATACTGAGGGTGACAGGTTCAAACCCGGCCCTGGCCAAACTGCAACAAAAAATAGCCAGGAGTTGTGGTGGGCACCTGTAATCCCAGCTACTTGGGCGGATGAGGCAAGAGAATTGCCTAAGCCCAGGAGTTGGAGGTTGCTGTGAGCTGTGATGCCACAGCACTCTACTGAGGGCGACAAACCAAAACTCTGTCTCTAAAAAATAAAAAAATAATAAATAAATACATAAACTTCTAGCTAACCTTTGTCTTCTTATGTAGGTCTATTAATAGGGAGCCAGGAGGATACCTATCCTTGAGTTTTGTGTCCTTCGTGCAAATGAACAAATTGGTAACACTATTTCATACACACTATATCATAAACATGGTAATAAGAGTTCCTCTCCCCCTATCCTGAGATTTAGAGGTCTACTCTCCATACACAGTGAGAGGGAGGTTTCTGCCCTACTAGACAAGTAGCCAGATCTGGTCAATTCACCAAAATCTTATTACCTTTTGAGACCTCCAATAAGATAGAGGTTCACTTCCTCTAGCTCAGTGATTTTTGTACTTGAAAATGCCTGAGAATCCCTGCAGCGCTTTTAAAAACAGAATTCTGGGATCCTCTACAGAGCTTTGGATTCAGTAGGTCTTGGGTTGGACTGGAGAATTTGCATTTCTGACTAATTGCCAGTGATACTGATACTGCTGGTTCAGGACTAACTACACTTTAGCATTACTTCTGCTAAAGTGTTATGTACTTTCCTTTTCTTGAAAGCATATTATGTATTCCTAAACATTTTAAGATTCCTGAAAAGACCTTTCAACTAAACTTTTTTAAATTGTAAAATATACCGAACATGCAACAGAGTATATGCAGTATATAAGTACAGTTTCCTTTAAAAAAAATACGAAAATACACCATATATACCATTCAGCTTAAATAATAGAATTTAACAATATGTTTGGAGCCCCTCTTTGCCTTACCCCAAATCTCTGTCTCCATCCCACTCCCACCCCCAGGTAGCCATTGCTCTGACTTAGTATTAACTATTCCTTTGCCTTTCTTTGCCTCTTAATCAAATATGTATTTAAGTAACACATATATGAACAAGAGAAGTCCTATTCAATTAGGACTTCAATTTTCAATTACCTAATGTTTTTTAAGGAGGAAAATTACTAGGAAATAAGATAACTATGAGTCTGTTTCTAATTCTGAAATGAAGGCTAGCATCAATACATTGCCTCAAGAGAATCTACCTTCCTCCTGCCCACAGCCCCAGTAATTATGTTTATTTCAGATGAAGATTCCTCTGATCACATATGATTGGCTTATCTCAAGTTGTGCCCATCAGATTCTGCTTCAAATATTTGATTTAAGAGACTGAATGAATAAATAGATAAATCATACAGGCCTGAGGCATCTCTGTGGCAAACCAAAGCCACACACCAACAAAAATGGAGAGGAGCAGAGAAACAATGTGTTAGCAAAGAGAAGGAGTCAAAGGGGCAGACACATGAGAAAGGCAAAGACAACTGGCCCTGTGGCTTTAGAGCAAAAAAAAAAAAAAAAATAGAGAAAAAAGGTGCTGCCTGAATAGTTTCTTTTTAGAAGCCCAGTCATTCTTTCTGCACTTTTCTTTTCCCTGTAAGATTCTCCAGTAGCTGTCGAATAACTCTCCTTTGTTATTGAACAAATAGGAATGGATATCTGGTCCTGGCAATCAGACAGTCCCTAACTAAGAGAGTGAGCTTAAGCAACATTCATGAAAGCAATCATTTTGTTAAAAAACTGCTTAAAAGTGGGCTCTGAGATTCCTGGGTGTAACTATACATATGAAATAGAATATGTTAGAATAGAATGGAATATGTTCCATTCAAGGAGACATATAATTAGTGAATAATGGTTACTTAATATAATATAATTATTATGACAATAAGATTATTAATACAACAAATATTATTTATTTATTTATTTTGCATTTGAGGTCTGCATTAGGAAAGCACAGTTAGGAGCCAGTGGACTGGGGAGAAGGGGGTGGGGAAGTGGAGTTTTTTGCAAGTGGCTTCCAACATCAGAGCAGCAAGAGAAAAACATCTGACAATGTCCCTTTGTAGCCTGGAAAGTGCTAGGATAGCCTGGTGTGTTCCCACCCTGCTCCCGCAGTTGGCCCCTGCACTCTCTGCTTACTAGGCGTCCAGCGTCCTGCCCGAGATTAGAAATTAGAAGAAAGGAACTGTTTCTTGGGGAGAAAGGAGGGGTTCAGCATGTCAGAAGTCCTTGATTCAGTATCCCAAGAACTTTCGTTCCCACTTCATTTTGATTCTTTACACTCCCTAGGCCCCTGATCCCTGGCTGGCTCACGTCTGAGCGCAGTAGCCTGGAGATTAGTAGCAGCCCAATGGTTGCGCCAGAGGCAAGAAGCTGGTATACCTGGGATCTAGGACGTGTGGTTTTAGTGATAAAGAAAGAATGTGGTTGAGGGGTAGAAAACACATGCACTGAATCCTTGGTATGTTCTCTAAGGCTCTGAAGCAACCCCGGTAGCCACAGGATTACAGGAGAGCTCAGTAGGCCTGGTGCAGACGCTGTCTACTGCTGCCTACTCCGGCCGGCCTGTGAGTTGTCGCAGGAGAACGCAGAACCCTCTGTCTCTGAGCAACCCAACCCCAACCCTCCACCTTCAGGGCTGCTCCCATTGCTGCCTGTGGGCGCTCTGCTGTCAAGGGCCCTCTGTGTACAAATACAGACTGCTGTCACCTCCCTAGGCATGGTGGATCCAGGGAGAGCTGCCGTGTTCCCCTAAGCCTACTCCTGGAGGGGTCATGCCTTTCTAGGGGAGTAGAAGTGTAGACAAGAAGGAAGAGAGGATACCCTGGCTTCAGGCCATGGGTCAGCCACACAGGTGGTATGTGCGTGGGGAGCTCTGAGCTGCACATTCTTGTGGGCCTGGATGACTACCTGGCTCCCCTCCCTCTACTTCATTCTGTCTCGGAGAACTGAGATAGGAGCTCCCAGCTGCCTCCATCTTCTCCAGTTCTTGGGAAAGAAAGAGATTCCCACCTGGGAACCCCCCTCTATCCCACCACCCTCTTTCCCCACTCCACCAGGAAATTAAGGCATGCTGTACCTCCTGCCCCTGGCTCCTTCCCAAGTGGTGCGTGGCCCTCCAACAAATATTTAATGGAACATTTTCTATGTGCCAATCATTGGGGGGGGGTGAAGAGATGAATATATCATAGTTATGGCCTTTTAGGAGCTTGTATAGTCTTATGGGAATGACAGTTTTATAAACAAATTTATTATACCCAGACAATACACTGCCTCTTAAATCAGAAATACATCGTGTTGCTTTGGAGAGCTCAAAGAAGAAAGTACTCAGTGATAGGTTGGTCAGAGGAACGTCCCAAAAACAGATCAAGCATAGGCCACTCCATTTTGAGCATAAGGCACTCCATCTTGGCCATTCAGTGACCTCTGCTGAAACCACCCCCTTCTGAGACTCAGCCAGGAGGAAATGAGAAGCTATAGGACAGAATTGCTCCAAGAGAGGCTAAAAGCAAATAAACAGAATGGTATTAGCAGGAAACTAGCTGAATTAAGACCTGGCAACAGTCACTGGTGCACCAAAGTATCACTTTCCTCCTCCTACCCTACCTAAAACCTTTAAAAGATAAGCACTCTTAGTCTTCTGGACATCAGCCTATTGAATCTCAGCCTGCCTTCACTGAGGTGCCAAATAAACTTTATTGTTCTACATCTTGCTTTGTGATTTGATTGAGTCAGATTGGGATATGGGCAGGAAGAGTTGTCTTAGAAGTTAATGATAGAGCTGAGACTTGAAAGTCTAGTAAAAAGTTGTTTAGGTGGTTAGGTATGATAGAAAGGATTTCCAAGCATAGGGAAAATGTGCAGAAAAGCCAGGGGGTGAGAATGATCACAAACCTCATAGGAATCCATTTGGCATGGCTCCAGCATGAAGTATAAAAGTGGAGAAATTAGAACAATAAAGGGAAAATGGCTACAGTCTTCCATGATACACCTAAAAAAGTTGAGGTATTATCTGGTAGGCAACAGGGAGTTATTAAATAAAATCAAACAGCAAATAACAGGATAAAATGTATGTTCTAGTGAAAACACTGGCTAGGGTGGAGTGTGGGAACACCTGAAACCACGATTAGGGAGAATTTTAGGGAAACCCCTTCAGAAGATAGTAAAGATGTGAAGTAAGACAATGGCAATAGATTTTGAAAGAAGAAGAACTTGAGAGGCATTTAGGAGGTCATATTTAAAAGATGTAAGAACTTATTAGGAAGGGGTTGTAGGTGGCTGGGTTATGACACAAGATGCATGGTAATTAATCACAGAAAGAACAAAGGCATGAAACAACTGTTTCAGATGCATGCAGTTTCAGATGAACACAGATCCCATAGGAGAAGAGGAAGAGTAAGTATGAGAGTATTTAATTGTTACATAGCAATTGCTTAAGAAACCCATTTCACTATGAAAAACCCAACTTCTAGCTTAGGTAAATGATATGGCCATAATATTATCCAACACATTTCTAAGATTCCTGAGAATAATACTATATTGCATACAGTTCTTCAAATAATATACCCAAGTAAATGTTTTGTGATAACTTGGATGTTTTGGAAAATCTGCATCCAGCTTAGTTTAAATATGATCACATTATACACATTACTCACCTGTCCGAAGACAGGCTACATTTGCAAGCCACCACTCTGGGATCCTGGGAAGAATCACAATTACTCGATCTCCCCTTTGCAGGGCACAGGCTTCTGTAAGTATATTGGCAAATTTCCTGGACAAAGATCCCAGTTCCTCAAAACTCCACCTCACCTCTTCTCCATTCTCATTGATCCACCAGAGGGCTGGATTGGAAGATTTCTTTCCAGCCTGAGGAAAGACAAACTAGTCATAGATTTAAAGGTTGTTATATACAGGGCAGTGCCTGTGGCTCAGTGGGTAAGGCGCTGGACCCATATACCAAAGGTGGCAGGTTCAAACCCAGCCCCAGCTAAAAATGCAATAAAAAATAGCTAGGTGTTATGGCAGGCACCTATAGTCCCAGCTACTCAGGAGGCTGATGCAAGAGAATAGCCTAAGCCCAGGGGTTGGAGGTTGCTGTGAGCTGTGTGATGCCACGGCACTCTACCGAGGGTGATAAAGTGAGACTCTGTCTCTAAAAAAATGAAATAAAATAAAAGAGGTGATTATACAGCTTAAAGTCTATTTCAGAATTCTGACTTAACAATATATTTTTCAAAGAAAATTCATAAGTCATTAGTAAGGACATAGATGGAATATTTGGAAATTACTCTGGCAAGACATCATCTCAAGATGGCTGAATAGAGGTGGCCAGTACTCATCTCTACAAAGAAGGACCAAATTGATGACTAAATAATGACATTACAAATAAAGTGTCTAAGAGTGAACACTGGAATTCAGCAAAGAAGTGACAAAGATTTTAAGACATGGAAACTTGAGATGGAAGCATAGAGAGGTTGTCCAGGATCAGCTTAAAACTAAGAAGAGCTCCACAATGGCAAGTAAGAGATCCCCAGAAGTCCATGATCCCACCACAGATACCTGTAGTTCTACAGGAGAGGCCATCAGCCCTCACAGGCCCTGAGCCTAAAATAGGGAAGTGCTTAGAGTCCTCATAATAACATTGTTCCAAAAAAGGAATTCATATTTTATCTTCACATCCAGGACCCAAGCTGCTATAGCTTGGTGCCATTTGGGGAGCAGTTTCACCACGAGAATATATCCTTCCTTGGAGCAAGTAGATCCTGCATCTCCAGATCCCAGGGGTCCTATTGACATTCCCACACATTCACCTCGAGGGCTGCAATGTTGCAATAACAGTTGGACCCAGTGATGCATCTGTGTTCCCAGTACCAACACCCACATGCAGTGCCCTACATCCCAGGAAACAGGTGGCCTAGCACATCAAGGTGGCTGTGCCAGGACCTGGGTGCTGAAGCATGTGCTCCTCATAACCTGAGAGCCTGGCACCATGGATAATGACTTTTCGCCCTCTAATGGTAGTGACTTCATATGCCTATGTGTGCCAGCTGAGGACCCAAGGACTACACTGTCTAGGCCAATACTACTACCATCAGTGCCCATGTATGCTGCCCAGAAACCCAAGGACTGATTTACCTGAGGCCCATTACTACCACTGCTGGTGCTTATGCACATTGCCTGAGGATCAGCCCTCACCAGAGCTCACTACTGCCTGTCAGGACCTGCACACTATACCTGCTGCTGCTACCATCGAACAAGCTCACCCCTTCCAACAATGGTCCACCATACATCTTTGTACACTACCTAGGAGCCCAAGGATCAGCCCACTTTGGCCCCACTGCTACCACTGCTGATGCTGGTGCATGTACCTTAAACTTTCAAAGAACTAACACCAATTCTTCTCAAACTTTTCAAAGAAATTAAAAAAGAGGGAAATTCTTCTTAACCCATTCTGTGAGGCTAGTATTGTCCTAACACCAAAACCAAACAAAGACATAATAAAAAAGAAAACAATAGGCCAATAGCCATGATGAACATAGATGTAAAAATCCTCAACAAAACGCTAGCAAACCAAATTAAAAAAAATACATCAAAAGGATAATGTACCATGATCAAGTGGGATTTATCTCAGGAATGCAAAGATGGTTCAACATACACAAGTCAATAAAAGTGATACATCCAACACACTGAAGGACAAAAACATATAGATACAGATAAATCATTTGACAAAATTTAACATCCCAATATTCAGCATAGAGCAAAAAGGAGCAGAATGGAAGATTCTAATCATTTCCAGGGCCTTCAACTGTCCCCAGTCCCTCAGAAGACAGCAGCAGGAGCTCATGGTCTAGAGCAAGGAATAGCAGTGTGAGCTAGAAAACCATAATGGGATCAACAGGTACCCCACCTGTCAGGACAGAAAAGCCCTGATGGAAAGACCCAACCTGAAGTGTAGGTATGCTTCAAGAACTGCCAGGCCAAATACTCTCTATGGCAACTCCAGTAACAACTCCAGTGACCACTAGAGTGGTGAGGCTGTGGAAGCTGCAGATTCCATACAATATCCAGATCTATACCCCTGTTCCTACAGGGCCCAGATTTCCAGGGTCCCTCTTTGTCCAGCCCTTTGGGAATCTTTACAGTAGCAGAAGCCACCATCAACAGCCTCAACCAGGCCTGCAGGAGTCCCTGGGTATGGCTCCCAGGAGGTTGTCCAGTTTGCTTCAGACCCTGTGCCAGGTCCAGGCCCAATCCTAGCCCTAGGCAGAAGCCCATTATCTTGCACCACCCAGAACAATTCCTAGGCCCAATTCTAGTACCAGGCCACACCCCAGACCCATTCCCATGCTCCACTCGAAGCCCAGGTCCAGACCCAGGCCCAGACTCAACCCAAGGCCCATTATGGCCTTGGACTATGCCTGTGACTTCTCACCGAACTCCCCTCAACCCAGGAACACTTTGAAGCCTCAGTCTTCATCACAATGTCTGGGTACCACAAGGAGGATGACTTTGTGAACAAGATTCAGGCACCAGGTCATTACTAGATTTACAGATAGGTTGAGAGGTTATGTCCACAAAGTCCTAAAGCTACCATGGGCTGAAGGGCCTGGAGCAGTGGCTGGTTGGTCTTCATCACTGGAATGTCTTTACCTCATCATTTGGATGAGTGTGACCATTTCTGTCCACTAGGAGTGGAATTGCTGCTCATGCATATGTTTAGCATTAGTGAGTATTGCCTGAGAGCTTTCTAAAAGACTTCCCAGTGTGTCTGCTGTTAGCATCCTCTCCACACTTAGGGTTGTGAGACTTTTTAATCTTTATCCATCTACTGACTTGTGGCTTTATTGTGGTTTTCATATTCATTTCCCTGATGACTGAGAGATTGAGAAGTGCTCAACATGTTTGTTGAAAAGAAATTAGAGGCTCGGCGCCTGTGGCTCAAGCAGCTAAGGTGCCAGCCACATACACCTAAGGTGGCGGGTTCGAATCCAGCCTGGACCCACCAAACAACAATAATGGCTGCAACCAAAAAATAGCCAGGCGTTGTGGTGGGCGCCTGTGGTCCCAGCTACTTGGGAGGCAGAGGCAGGAGACTCGCTTGAGCCCAGGAGTTGGAGGTTGCTGTGAGCAGTGAAGCCATGGCACTCTACCCAGGGGGACAGCTTGAGGCTCTGTCTCAAAAAAAAAAAAAAAAAGAAATTAGAAAGCCTCAAAAATTCAACATCTCTTCATGATAAAAATTCTCCATAAAGATATTGAAGGACATATCCTAACACAAAGACTATATGTGAAGAATCCACAGGTAGTATCATACCCAATGTGGAAACGGAGAAAGTCTTCCCTTTAAGAACTAGAACAGGAAAAAGAGTTCCACTTTACCATTCTTATTCAACATGGTACTGGAAATTCTATTCAGAGCAATTAGATGAGAGCAAGCAAGAAAGGGCATCCATGAACTATTGTCCAGGCCATGAGAAAGAAAGAGAGAGAGAGAATATAAATTGGAAAAAAAGTCAAATTGTCCTTCTTTGCAGGCAACATGATCTTATATATAGAAAACCTATAGGCTACCCCAAAACATCTTAGAACTGATTAACAAATTCAGTAAAGTTACAGGATACATTTAACACAATAACTAAGAAAATTACATGAAGGCTATGTTAACCAGTTTGATGGAAGTGTTTCGGATTGTGTATGAAAACACCACACTGTACCCCAGAAGTGCATTAATACACACAGTTACCATTCAATAAAAAAAAGAAAAAGAAAAAGAAAACAAAAGTTACAGGATACAAAATCAACATAATGTTGATCAGTATATGTTCCTGTACAATCAATATAATAGTGCAAAATTAGTAGTCTTTCTATACATTAATAATTCACTATCATAAAAGATATCAGGAAAGCAATCCCATTTACAATAACTACAAAAAAAAAACCCCTTAAATATAAATTTGACCAAGGAAATGAAAAGCTTTGCGATGAAAACTATAAGAAATTGATGGAGAGCTACTCAGGAGTCTGAGGCAAGAGAATCATCTAAACCCAGGAGTTGGAGGTTATTGTGAGCAAAAAAAGAAATTGATGGAAAAACTAAAGAGGACACAAACAAATTAAAAGACATCCCATGCTCATGGACTGGAAGAATTAGCATTGTTTTATTTTATTTTTAGTAGAGACAGGGTCTTGCTCAGGATGTTCTCAAACTCCTAAGCTCAAGGGATCTATCCACCTTAGCCTCCCAGAGTGCTAGGATTACAGTTGTGGACCCAACCAGAAGAATTAATATTGTTAAAATGACCATCAGTCATTAAAAAGTCAGTAGAAAGCAAGCCATCAGTGTAATCCCTGCCAAAATACCAATGACATTCTTCACAAAAATAGAAATAAACAATCATAAAATTTGTCTTTTTTTTTTGTTTTGTTTTTTAGAGATAGAGTCTTACTTTATTGTCCTCGGAAAAGTGCCGTGGCGTCACAGCTCATAGCAACCTCCAACTCCTGGGCTTACTCCCAAGTAGCTAAGACCACAGGCATCTGCCACAACACCTGGCTATTTTTTGTTGTAGTTTGGCTGGGGCCGGGTTTGAACCTGCCACCCTCAGTATATGGGGCTGGCACCCTACTCACTGAGCTACAGGTGCCGCCCAAGAATCCTAGAATTTGTTTGGGATAAAAAGACCCCTTAAGCCAAAACAGTACTGAGAAAAAGGAACAAAGCTGGAGGCATTACACTACTTGACTTCAAAAGTTACTATAAAGCAATAGTAATTAAACAACAAGGTCTGGTCTAAAAACAGACACATGAACCAACGGAACCAGAATAGAGAACCCAGAAATAAATTGACATGTTTATAGCCAATTGGTTTTTGACAAAGGTGCCAAGAATATACAGTGGGTAAAAGACACTTTTAATAAATGATATGTGGAAAACCGGATATCTATACTCAGTAGAATGAATTTGGACCTCTGTCTCTCACCGTATACAAAAATCAGCTCAAACTGGATTAAAGACTTACTCTAAACTATAAAACCACTACAAGAAAATGCGAAATGCTTCATGACATTGGTCTAGGTAAAAAATTTATGAATAAGATTATAAAAACATAGGCAACAAAAACAAAAAATAGACAAATGTGACTATAACAAACTAAAAAGCTTCTGCACAGAAAAGGAAACTATCAGTAGAGTGAAGAGACAATGGGAGAAAATATTTGCAAACTATTCATACAACAAGGAACTAACATCCAGAATATACAAGGAACTCAACACTAAAATAAATAAATTAAGTAATAAGTAAACAAAAGAAAAAATAGGTACAAGATCTGAATAGATTTCTCAAAAGAAGACATACTATTGGCCTACGAGTATATAAAAATATACTCAACATTGTTAGAAAAATGCAAATCAAAACCACTTTATCATCTCACGCTGTTTAAAATAACTATTATCAAAAAGAAAAAATGCAGCAAATTCTTTTGAGGATGTGGAGAAGAGGAGACTATTATATGCTATTGATGGGAATGTAAATTAGTACAACCATTATGGAAAACAGTATGATTTCTCAAAAAACAGGAAACAGAACTATCATATGATTTCTCAGTCCCACTATTGGGTATTTATACAAAGGGAAGGAAATCAGTATATTAAAGAAATATCTCTTCCCCCAGGTTTATAACAACACAATTCATAATTGCCAAGATATTGAATCAACCTAAATGTGTATCAACAGATGAATGTGTGAAGAAAATGTTGTGTATATAAACACAATGGATATAGTATTCAGCCATAAAGAAGAATGGAATCTTGTTATTTGTGGTAACATGTATGGACTTAAAGGACAATATGTTAAGTGAAATAAGTCAGACACAGACATACAAATACTGCACATTCTCATTCATATATGGGAGCTAAAAAAATTGAACTCATAGAAATAGAGAGTGGGGGCGGTGACTGTGGTTCAGTGGGTAGGGCGCCAGCCACATAAACGAAGGGTGGTGGATTTGAACCCGGCCCTGGCCAAACTGCAATAAAAAATAGCTGGGCATTGTGGCGGGCACCTGTAGTCCCAGCTACTCAGGAAGCTGAGGCAAGAGAATGGCTCCAAATTGCTCCCAGTTGAGAAACTGTAACTTGCCCTTGCTCCATACCTTTTCCACATTGGTCCATTGGTCTAGGACATCTTGAGCAAAGTTGAAATACTCTGGAATCTCCAACTTGAAGTCTTGTTTTATGGATTCATAGCTGGAAAAATTCTGTGGCGTTGCTATTCTATAGTCTTTATGCAGTGCTCTCACAGAGCCAGGAATTACTAGGTGCTGAAAACATTTGGCACGAAGTAACATCTTCATGGTGATAAGAGCAAGCATCCGTCTTGTTGGATGTTTTAGCACTCAATATTTCCACAGAGAGTAATACATCTAAAAGACAAATAAAAAGGACATGTATCTGATTCTGTCCTGAAGGCAGCCATGGGGCTAAGTTTTATTATTGTATTGATAATCATCATAATAGTACAATTTTCTGAGTACTCCCTGTGTAGCAAACACTGTGCTCAGTGTTTTCTGTAAACCTGGTCATTAAGTTCTTGGAGAAACCCTGTGAAGTGAGTATGATTATCGTCTCTAAGTTTACAGATTGAGAAAATGACCAGTAAGAGGCATCATCTGAATTTGAGCCCAGAACTATCTGGTCCCTACCCATTCTCCTACTCTGCACTACTGCTTCCATAAGCATTTCTAAAAAAGTAAAGATCAGCTCGGCACCTGTGGCTCAAGCAGCTAAGGCGCCAGCCATGTACACCTGAGCTGGCGGCTTCGAATCCAGCCCGGGCCCACCAAACAACAATGACGGCTGCAACCAAAAAATAGCCGGGCGTTGTAGCGGGCGCCTGTAGACCCCACTACTTGGGAGGCGGAGGTAGGAGACTCCCTTGAGCCCAGGAGTTGGAGGTTGCTGTGAGCTGTGATGACATAGCACTCTACCCAGGGTGACAGCTTGAGGCTCTGTCTCAAAAAAAAAAAGTAAAGATCTGAGTCACCCACTTAGTATCAGTGAAAGCGAAGGGCTAAGCCTTATCTAATCTATTTCACCTGGACATTTCAAAAGTAGTGCTGAAATGTTAATGAGAATTTTTTCACAGTGGGTAACACAGATGAAGAAACTGAGTGTAGCCCAGAGCCAATTAGACATGAAAGCACTGTGACCATGCTTGGTTTATAGTTTATAAACCATCTAGTTTATAGCCTGCAGTTCCCATGCTCCCAATACATGCCCATGCTACCTTCCAGCCAGGTTTGTAGTGGCATTTATTAAGGATGTAATAATAGGGTTCCAACCTTTAGGATTTCTATGGGGGAGGCCCCCCAGGTGATCCACTGCTTCTGTGGGAAATCATTTGATTACAGTGTCATTTATTTGGCTGAGGCTATTAAAAATAAAATTCTAGGGATTATGAGTGTTTGAAGTTCTCCTTGTTAAACTTTTTATAATTTTCCAAATTTCCTACAAGGAAACATGTATTAGTCTCACAACCATTAGATGGTTATTCCGAGTGCTGTTCTAGCTGTGTGGCATGTGTGGAAGCCTTTCTGTATTGATAAATTGCCAAAACAGCACACAACGCCAAGTTTTACTCTAAATGTACCTGGAGTTTGGGCACCAAATTGATATACCCAACACATTGAGAAATGTGGGTACGTCTTCGGAACCTCCCAACAATTTGTGTGAGGACCTGACATGCTCAGTCTTTGAGCACTCCAAGACATCCAGTTTCAGATTCCTCATTTTTCATCTGCAAAGAAAACTGGAGCCCCAGAGAGGGGAAACAATTTGCTTCAATGTGTTATACCACAATAAGAACTAGAATTTTTGCCCTTTTATTCCCATTTGAATGCTTTTACTATAGTACAATAGGATTACATGGAGAGCAGAAATTCTCAACCCTAGCTATACATGTGAATCACCAGGAAACCTTTAAAAAATTTCTAATGCCTAGGTCTTGGAACAATTAAATCAATTTCTACAAGTGGGCTCTGGGTACCATGTTTCTTTCTTTCTTTCTTTTTTTTAAATTGAGACAGTCTTGCTTTGTCACCCTCAGTAGAGTTCTGTGGCATCACAGCTGACAGCAACCTCCAACTCTTGGGCTCAAGTGATTCTCTTGCCTCATCCTCCCTAGTAACTGGGACTACAGGTGCCTGCCACAACACCTGGCTATTCTGTTGTTGTTTGGCAGGTCCGGGTGGGATTTGAAACCACTATCCCCAGAGCACCTGAAGCATGTGGCCAGCACCCTAACCACTGAGCATGGGTGCTCAGCCTGGGCACCATATTTTCAAAAATTTCGTCAGAAGATTCTAATTCTCAGCCAAGTTTGAGACTCACTGATCACTAATAGAGGCTGTGATTTGTGAACCATCAATGTCATCATCATCTGGAAGCTTGTTAGAAATGTACATTCTCAGTCGCCTCTCCAGATATATTGAATTAGAGGCTTTTAATATTTTAACAAGATCCCAGGTAATGGAGTGTACATTCAAGTGTGAGAAACACTGGTCTATAGCATAATGGCTAAATATACTGGCTATTGGTTTTTTTTTTTTTTTAAATTTATTTTTCTTACATATACATGTGTATATTAGGTCTCCACTTTTGCCTTCACAGAATTAAAAGGCTAAATTTAATGACAATAATAATATTTAACATAAGGACTGAGAACAAAAACCTCATAAAGAACGAAAGAAGATAAATACATTCAGAAAAGAAATCAGACGATTGCTGCAATGAATTATTAAGCAATAATAAGCAATATAAGTTCTCTGAGGACAGGAGTCTTACCTGCTATGTTCATGCTACTATCCCTGTGGATTTTAATAGTATTTGGTCTATACTAGCTGCGTTTAAGTATTTAATAGTAATAATGCAAAGAAAGTAACATTCACATTGTCAGATAGAAGTATGTCTATTATAGAATACTTTGATCAGTTAACTTCTTCTTCTTTTGTTTTTTCCAAAGTCTCAAAAAAAATAGACAACTAATATTTATAAATAAAAGTAAAAGATAATTTCAAAAAAACAGATATCAAATCTTATAGACAATAGAAAAAGAAATACTTCAAAATCATTCTACTTAATCTGGATACACCTGATATTAAAATTGGAGAAAATATATTATTGTAAAAGGGAAATTACAAACCTATTTCACTTATAAATGAGGATGCAATATGATAAACAACATATTAACATGTTGAATTAAAAATTAATTTAATTTTGATTAACGTATATTACTTAAACCGATTTTTAATCCAACATGTCAATATGTTGTTTATCATATTGCATCCTTATTCATCAGTGAAATATGTCTGTAATTTCCCCTTCATACTAATACATTTTTTCTAATTTTACTATGAGGGTATCCAGACTAAGTAGAATGATTTTGAAGTATTTCTATTTCTACCGTCTATAAGACTTGGCGTGATCTGTTTTTTTTTTTTTTAGAAATTATTTTTTACTTTTATTTATATATATTAGTCGTCTTTTTTTTAGACTTTGGTAAAAACATAATAAGGAAAAAAATTGTTTGCTATTTGTATTTTGTCTTGTGTATTCTGTAACAAACAAGTAGTAAATGATTATGTATTCAAAGAAAATAGTGACTAATTCTCATATAAATTGTATTTAACTTTGACCAAAGTACATTACTTAAACATTAATTTTTAATTCAACATGTTAATATGTTGTTTATCATATTGCATCCTCATTTATAAGGTTTATTTATTTATTTTTTTTTGAGACAGAGTCTCAAGCTGTCCCCCTGGGTAGAGTGCTGTGGCATTACAGCTCACAGCAACCTCCAACTCCTGGGCTCAAGCGAGTCTCCTGCCTCAGCCTCCCAAGTAGCTGGGACCACAGGCGCCGGCCACAACGCCCGGCTATTTTTTTTTTGGTTGCAGCCGTCATTGTTGTTTGGTGGGTCTGGGCTGGGGATTCGAACCCGTCACCTTAGGTGTACGTGGCTGGCGCCTTAGCCGGTTGAGCTATAGGCGCCAAGCCTATAAGGTTTTTCTGTTTTGGTTTTTTTTGCAGTTTTTGGCCAGGGCTGGGTTTGAAACTGCCACCTCCGTATATGAGGCTGGCACCCTACTCCTTTGAGCCACAGGCACTGCCCAATATACTGGCCATTGAATTGTACTGTCATGGGATAGGAGCCCTGTTTTAGCACTTATGAACTGTGTGACCTTATTTGAATTAACCATTCTGAACATCAGTTTCATATTTTACCAATAGAGAAAATAACAGAGGCTCCATCAAAGAATTGTCTCCAAAATTTAATATGATAATCCCGGCAAAATGCTTTATTCTGGTGCCCAGCATACTACTCTCTATTAGAACAGTGATTGGCAAACTTCCTTAAAGGGCAAGACAGTAAATAATTGAGGCTTTGTGGGCCATATACTCTCTGCTACAGCTATTAAAGATTTACCTCTGCTGTTGAGAGAACAGCCATTGACAGTCCACAAATAAATGGGCATGGCTGTGTCCTCCCCCCCCCAAAAAAAACCATTTATGGATACAGAAACTTGAATTTCATGTAATTTTTATGTGTCATAAATTCTTATTCCTCTTTTATTTCTCTTTTCAACCACTTAAAATGTAAAAGCCACTCTTAGTTTGAAGGCTGTACAAAAACAGCAGAGGGCTGGATTTAGCCCATGGGCTATAGTTTGATGATATTTTCACTAGAATATAAGTTCTCTGAGGACAGGATTCTTACCTGCTATGTTCATGCTACTATCCCTGTGGATTTTAATAGTATTTGGTCTATATTAGCTGTGTTTAAGTATTTAAGAACCACAGGTGGCTAACAAATATAAGTCAGTGCAGAGATAAAACATTTCTAATGCTGTAGAATATTCTTTTGGACAATCAACTGGATTGGTGTAAAACACAGATATAGGAAAACTGAGGGGGAAGCTTCTCGAGATAAAATTGTTCTAAGGGTCTGGGTCTAGTAGTGTTCTTGCCTAAACAGGCCGTGGAAGGGAAAGCATTAACAGAAATTTCTTGACTGTCTTTAGAGCTAGGAGAAAAGGCTGCCCTTTAGAATAGGAATAAATTTGCTCTCAGGCCGGGTTTCTCTGTGAGTTAAAGCCTCCAAGTCCTCAAATGACATTCTCTTTGGCAGTAGGGACTGGATGGAGGGAATTACTGGTCTCTGCTGTTTGCCAGCGAGTTACAGCTGGCTTCTCTCTCTCTTCCTGACAGAATTAGCATCAGGTTTCTGTCAAACGAAGAAAGAAAGTAGTCAACTCAATGCTAAGCTTTTAGATACAACTTGTCTCTCTTTGTTTTGAATTTCTTGCATTATGTCTTCAAATGATTCAAAAAACATAAAGGGTACACAGTGGAAAATCTGCTTCCTACTTTTAGTCTCCAAACAGCCCAGTTTCATCCCACCTGACTCCTCAAGGGAACCACTATTATTATGTCTATGTATCTTTTCAAGGTTTTTTTATGTGCATTCAAAAAATATGACTATAGATCCTTATTTCTCCACCAATTTTACACAATAGGTAGCCTAAAATATACACTATTCTGCACGCTAAAAATATTTATAACAATGTGTTTTTGGTGTTTATTCCAGATCAGTACACAGAGACCTTCATTCTGTTTTTTATTTTATAACAGTTGCATGATATTCCAGTGAACAGCTGCAATGTAATTTCTTTCTTTCTTTCTTTCTTACTTTCTTTCTTTCTTTCTTTCTTTCTTTTTTTTTTTTTAGACAGAGCCTCAAGCTGTCCACCTGGGTAGAGTGCCGTGGCATCACAGCTCACAGCAACCTGCAACTCCTGGGCTCAAGCAAGTCTCTTGCCTCAGCCTCCCAAGTAGCTGGGACCACAGGTGCCCACCACAACGCCCAGCTATTTTTTGGTTGCAGCCATCATTGTTGTTTGGCGGGCCCGGGTTGGACTCAAACCCGCTACCTTAGGTGTATGTGGCTGGCGACTTAGTCACTTGAGCCACAGGAGCCAAGCCTGCAATGTAATTTCTTAAACCAGTTCCCTATTGGTGATCACTTGAGTTGTTTCATTTTGCAACTTAGATTAAATTTTGAAACTATTTCCTCCAAAAAGAATGTTCTGGTTCTTCCTCTCATTACTTGGGTATAAAAACAAATAGTATTTTTCAGTGGTTAAGAAAGACTAGGGAAAAAAATCTGATTCTATTAAAATAAAGGGCAAGAATTCGGATTAGAACAGATACCTTAAGGCCTTGTGCTTTATGGTTGGTAGGTTGGCATGATTCATTTATTTATTCAACAAACACTGATTGAGCCCCTACCACGAATTGTTGTAGACAGAGAAGATATAAGGGTGAATGAAAGACGAGGTCCTCCTTGCCCTCATGGAAAGACACATGTAATAAATAAGGCAACAAGGAAATGTGATGTTACACACTCATACACAAACACACACACACACAAACTCAGAGAGGATAATGGGAGAAAAGTGAGGCTCTTTTAGTAGATTTCTCTATGAAGGTGACATTTTTGCTAAGGTCTGGCAAGTGGTTGCACTGCGCTAAGCACTTTGCAGTCATTTATTATTTCCATTTTATAGACAAGGAGATATATATACACATATCCCAATTAGACAATGCATTCATTTATTTATCAGATACTCATTAAGCACCTCCTATGTGCCAGATCTATACTAAAAGCTGAAACTATAACTGTGAATAAGACAAAACTGGTCTTTGATGATGCTTACAGACCAGTGTTTTCAACCTTTTTTATCTCATGGCACACTTAAATTATGTTGATTGAAAAAAAAAGAGAGTAAAAATAAAAAAGAATATACTCACTGTGCTTTAAACTTTTGGAAATAATTTAATTAATGATCTTCAATAATTTTTGTGGCACATCTAAGATTCTCTCATGGCACACCAATGTGCCACAGCACACTGGTTGAACATCACTTTATAGACTATTAAGGAAGACATTAAATAATTATGGAAATAATAATATCATTGGGGATAAGTACACTGTACCCTCAACTTGCTGATACTGAGTGGAATTAAAATTCAGCATGATTTCTTCCCTATCCCCCATACAAACTCTTTACCATATATTCAGAATCCTTCAAACATGCATTATAAAGAAAATTGATCAGCCATTTGGAGCTTAAAACAAACGTAACCATTCTGTTCTACCAAAAAGAAAATATCAATGTTTTCTTTATCAAAACTATAAGATTGCTTCTCCCCATTTAAAGTTCTGTTCCTGCTTTTTCAGTGATCTTACTTAGCATTTTCCAACTTCCATTCTCCATGTTTGTAAAATTCTTTCTAGGTGAAAAAGCTGAAATAACTTTGCCAGTATGAGTCCAGATTTTTATACTAAGGAAAGCTCTTCTAAGAAATATAGTACTGAGCAGTGCCTGTGGTTCAAAGGAGTAGGGTACCGGTCCCATATGCCAGAGGTGGTGGGTTCAAGCCCAGCCCCAGCCAAAAATTGCAAAAAAAAAAAAAAAAAAAAAAAAGAAAGAAAGCAAAAAGAAATACAGTACCAGTGGGAAGGGAAAAACAAAGAGTCTTCATGGGGGATAGGAGGAAAGCATGGCTTGCTAAATAAGGAAGTCTGGAGGGCCATAGACACATTATGGAACACTGTGACTCAATTGATCAAGCCTGTCCTACAAAGAACACAGTTTCCATCTTTGGGCATAGGGTGAACACTATACACCACAAGGACCCCACGTATTGGTAAAATCAACAGTTAGTTCAGTACTTAGCAATTCTTGCCAAAAAGGGAAAAGAATGTGGATATGAGGTTACCTAGATAATCAAGGACCAATAAAGGACAAAGGTGCCTGGAGATGCAGAGAGACCAATGAAAGAGTTATACAGACAATGTCAAAGGGAGAGGAAAATGATACTTACACCTTTACACTTGTTTTGTGTCTGTCTGTCTCTTCTCACTCATGAGAGAGACCTCTTCCAACTCTCTTTGGGAATGCTCTAAGCTTTCTCTTTTTTCTTAAATAAATTTTCCCTTTGTTATACTAAAGCTTGTGCAAAGTTCTCTATTCACACTGCCCATGCTACATCTATATACTGGTTTCTATCCACTTCACTTTCTGTTAGGGCTATGCCTTGGCTGAACTTGCTAGTTTCGTGAAGTAATTGAACAGGTCAGCTGAGTACCAGGCAACTGGAACCTGATATCCCCAACACCAGTATCTGGCCATGCTTTTAGCCCACATTCTTTCTGTAACCTCAAGATGGTATATAAGCTTCTGTACCCCATTGTGGAGTTGGGTCTTCATTCTAAAGTTTCCTGTGTAACATAAAATTATGATTGAATAAATGTGTGTATCTTTTTTCATCATCCCCCACCCCACAAAAAAGAAATACAGTACCACTCCTGGTTAGTTGAGCTTCTGAAAGCATTTAAGGCCTTATCTGAAATGCAAGTTCTATGTCCATATAACTAGCCAAGGGGGCTTTAACCTCCTCACCTATCCACAACACCCTTGTTGTTGCGCAGACTCAACACAAGGTAAAGTCTATACTTTTCTCCCTAATCCCAAAAGACCCTGCCTTAAACCTGTTCCATACAGAACTTTTGGAGCTTCTCTTGACCACTTAACGGAGAAAAGTGGCTGCCCCTGATTGTTTGCTTGGGTTTGCACCTGTCAGTTACTTAAAGTTTCCTAGAAGTAGTTTGCATACTTTCTGGATGATGCAGAAGTTAGATTCCCATCTGCCACCAAGCAGGGTTGGAAGCTAAGAAGACAGTATAGTGGAAAACCCAGCCACTACCTGGACTCAATTATTTTCTAAAAAATTTTATCAAGTGGACACATACACATAGTTAAAAATATTAAATAGCACCAAAAAGCTTGAGATGAAACCTCAGCCGCTCTGTTTGTAGCCTTTTGCGTGTGCATGTTCCTCATCACCTACTAAATGGTATCACACAACTGAGAAATCCTGACAGCTACACTTTGGCTGCCCAAGACTTAAGTGACAGCATTTTTTTTTTTTTTGAGACAGAATCTCACTTTGTTGCCCTGAGTAGAGTGCCACGGCTTCATAGCTCACAGCAACCTCAAACTCTTGGGCTCAAGCAATACTCTTGCCTCAGCCTCCCCTGTAGCTGGGCCTATAGGCACCTGCCACACACCTGCTAATTTTTCTCTTTTTAGTAGAGACTCACTCTAGTAGAGGGGCTCACTCTTGCTCAGGCTGGTCTCAAACTCCTGAGCTCACAAAATCCACCCACCTCAGCCTCCCAGAGTGTTAAAATTACAGGCGTGAGCCACTGCACTGGCTTAGTGAAAACATTTTTGATTTTGTTGGTTTTGTTCCCTTATTGTGATCTTGGCTCAAAAAATTTATATAATAGTGCAGCAAATCTTACACCGGAGAGGAGCAGAAGTACTCACTCAAGTTACAGGTTCCAACACAGCTGGAAATGATGATGGCAGACCTGTTTTCTAGAAGAGCAATCCTGAAACTTGAGTCTCACTTGCTTTAGTCTTGGTAGTAGTCCAAAGAAGAGTAGCCTGACAATCAGAAGGAACAATACTTGCCCTGAGTTCCTTTACTTGATTGGTGGAAACATTCCAGGAGGAGGAGCCAGAACTCCAGGCTAAATTTACATTGAAGGTTTACACAAGCCTGGGCTGCCCTGTCCCTCTGACAGGTAAAGATTTACATACATTACAAGCTTTCTGGGAGGTGGGTAAGCAATTTGCTCTCAAGAGGGAAAGAACTTGCTGCAGGGGTCAGTCCTGTGAAGGGGCAGAGAAAGCTCTTTCTCAAGTGGGAAGAATAGATGGAGGAGGACATAAAGGAGTTTTGAAATGGAAAGAAAAGAAGTTAAGGGGAGAGTATATGTTGCCCTAGATTTTAGGAACTGGTCGCTGTGTTTATCTGTTGAACTGGTCAGGACTAAACATAAATGCCATCAGCTCACTCTTCTGCTCAAATCCTTCAGTGCTTCTTAGCTCACACCAGGTAAAATCCAAGTTGTTGTGTGGGCTGCAAGGAGCTGTATGATCTGGCACAGGGTCTTCTTTGACCCATGGCCCACTCCTACTCCTCTGGTTCACTCTGCCACCCCGGCCTGCTTGCAAACAGCCTGCGTGTTCTAGCCTCAAGCTTTTTGAACTGGCAGTGCCTACTGCCGGGAACTCTTTTCTCAAATATCTCCCTGGCTAAGTCATTACAAATGATAGAAATCCGGCTCAAATTCACATAAACAAAGACCTTTGGGTGACTAATTAGTACTAGGAGTTTTTCCTTATTGATTCCTTAGGATTTTCTGTGTAATCACATTATCTGCCAATAGGGACAGTTTAACTCCTTCCTTCAGATGTATATGACAGTTTTGTTTTGTTTTGTTTTCCAGTAAAGAGGATTCATTCTCACTCCTTGCCAAGAAAATACCCAAGTATTTTCTAGTAAATTGAAAATCAACAGAGTGGTACAGTAGCCCCCCAAGGTCATTCAGTAAATGATTTTGAAATGGTTTTCTGGTTGAGAATGTGTGTCTGGACCTGCACAGGGCAGCACAGTCCTCAGCAACCTATAGAGTTACTAGCAAGTTTCTAGAGAGTAGCCAGGCCCTTGGTCTATAACTTTGCGCTCAGGGGAATGAAGGGGAGTGGTGGCCACCCCATCAAATAATGGCGGAAGTTGCTTTGTGGAGGAAGGACAGACAGCATGTTTGCTTGGCCCTGTTACCTCTGAAACTCTTAACAGTTTGGTTAAGAGTTCTCAACACAAGAAGCTGAGATGCTCTCCCTAACCTTGGGACAAGGACCCTTGAGTGATGCTCTGCCTCCATCCCTGCAGGTCTAATGGCTTTTCAAGCCATGGGAAGAGATAATGTCTTCTCCCATCCTTATAGCCAAGGACTGGGTCCAACGTGGTGCCCAAAATGCCAGGGAGCACCAGGGGTGAGGAGGATGGGGGAAACACAGCCTGGCACAGGCCTAGCCATGACCCAGAATGGCAGAGTAGGCGTTCAGCTCTAGATTGTGGGGGCCCTGACCCCATGGTGTCCTTGTCATGCCTGTCTCTGGACCCCTGAGCCCTGTTCCTGGCTGCTTCTAGCTGCTCCTAGCTGCCGCTGTCACTGTTTCTGTACTTTTGTCCTCTATACTTCTACCTTTTCCTCCTGTAGCAGCTGCCCTACTATGGCCCCAATCTGAAGGTGGCAGGGGGAGGTCCTCTGCAGGCAGCACCTAACCCTAACCCTAACCTGCTCTTCGGCATCTGGTGGTGTGAGTCCTTTGTCTTCCAAGACCACCTCTGACCTTCCTTCTTGATTTTCCTCTCTTGTGGCCTTTCTCTGTCTCCTGCCATCTCCCCCCTCCCCCCTCCAAAATGGAAGAAAAAACAGGGATGGAAAAGTCCACATCTGTGGTCTGCTTGTCCAGCGCATCCTGGTTGACATGATGACTCATCTTCTCTAGGACTGACAGAGAAATATCCCAGAGGTGTGGGAACTGGCTCAGAGCCCAGATATGAAGGACAGGACAAGGCTGGGGTGCCTTTTAGCAATGAGTCCTAAGTAGGGTGGGTGGAGGAATAGCCACGACCAAAAGAAGTCACAGATGGGCCCAGAGGGCAGAGGATGTGCTGTGTTTTGGCCCTCCTCTCCCAGGGAAGGGTCCAGGATCTCTGCACCAGTGAAGTGATGAGGAGGTAGGTAAGGGACGGGGGGTGGGGGGGGTGGGGGGGAGGGCAGAAAACCAACCGGAGTGGGCAGGGGGGGTTAGTAGTTTGATACTTATAGATAAGTTAATTTTATAATCTTGCTTTTGGCTTTTGGTGTTCACCTATATTGCTTAGAAGGTGTTAAGGAATTAATGAGTGCCTCTCTATCCCCATTCCCATCTGGCCAAAATGTTTAATTGGCTATCAATGTTTATGGTTCTAAATCTCTTCTGAGCGATAAAGAAGCCCTAGATGGATGTAGGGCAAATAGCCACTTCACCCTGTCAATGATAAGATAAAATAAATCTTGACCATTGCTATAATCTCTGGCTTATCTTGGCCAAAAGGGAGACAATAAAATTCTAAACCCCTCTTGACCAACGGTACCCCCAGAAACAGCTTAAAACTGAGTTCCTAGCCATGACAGGATCGGAGAGATAAAGCACAATTACACATGAGCATGATTTACCTTTATAAAGATGCATCACTCCTGCTGTAACTTGTTGAACATGAATATTTGACCATCCTGCTCAGTATAAATAAATCTTTTACCTTTGGTCTGTCCTTTGAAGTATATGTGCCTGGCTTCTGGCTGGGGCTCTGCTTCCCAGCTTATTGGAATGGCCGCCCAACAGGCTGCTACCCTTTATGAGAAATAAAACTCTCCTTTTTTTCCAAAGTATAAAATGCATTAACTTTTTTTTTTAGTTAACACTCTCCTGCTGGCCATGGCAGTTTTCTGCCTTACATTTCCTCCTCTCCCACTCACACGTTGTTGCAAGCAGAGATTTTCCCGAGGCACACTAATGAGCCAGCGGGGCTGCCCGGGATCTGACACTGGGGGGCCCAAGGGTGGACAGAGTCAACTGACTAGATGTCCATAAGGCTGAGGACTTATATTCTAAGAAGAGATGATTGGAGCCACAGTGCTCAGTTGAAGGAGTAGGGGCTGTGGCTGGGTAAGGAAATGTTCCTCAGAGTCTGTTAAGGAAACAAGGAGAGGTGTCCTCACCCTGCAGTGAGTTGTCACAGAAGCTCTATGCCTCTTATTTCCTTTCCTTGCCTTATTTCACTGGCTAGAGTTTCTAGCACTATGTTGAATAAGAATTGTGAAAACAGACTTCCTTGGCTTGTTTTTGATCTTAGAGGGAAAGCATTTGGTCTTTCATGATTAGGTACAATGTAAGCTGTAAGTTAGATGCTGTTTATCAAGTTGAAGAAGTTTGCCTCTATTTCTATTTCTCTAAGAGCTTTTTAAAAAATCATGAATAGTTATTGAATTTTGGCAAATATTTTTTCTTCATCAATGTAACCATGTGGTTTCTTCTTTAACCTATTAGTAAGGTAGATTACACTGACTGATTTTCCAGTGTTGAACTGACTTACCTTTCTGGAATAAATGTGGTCCCACTGTATAATTCTTTTTAATTTGACAAGTTGCCAAATATGAAAACTTTTCAGCTATTATTTCTGGGAGTAATACTTTGGCCTCCATGTTAGATCTTTTACAATAGTCACACAAGTGTCTGAGGAGCTGTTCCTTTTTTGTTTTCTTTATTTCCTGTTCTGGTTTCATTTTCTTGTTCAGGTTGGGTGATTTCTATTGCTCTGTCTTTTAGTTCACTGATTTCTTTTTCTGTTTTCCCCCCATTCTTATGTTGAGACTATTTTTAAAGAGAGTCAAACAAAGCATTTTTCCTGCTCTCCTATTCCACTCAATATACCATGTCTAACACTAGATGATGTAGGTTTTCCATCACAGATCAAGACATTTTTTAACAACCAAGCCTGTATCTTATTCTTCAGTTTAGTTAGATACTATCTACCTGAAGATAGTGTCAAATCCCACAGGTTAAGGGCTCAGTCCCACAACATAGCCCCTCACTTCAGTTGTCAATTGAAAGTCTCAAGGTCGTGACCTATACTTCTGGCAGACCAGCTATAAATTAGGCCTTTCATGACCCCCCTTCATGGGTTTGATTAATTTGCTGGAACAGCTCACAGAATAAAGTGAGATACTTCACTTACATCAACCCATTTATTTTAAAGGGTATTACAAAAGATACAGATGAACAGCCAGGTGAATGATACATAGAAGTGTGAAAGAAGGGGCACAGAGCTTCCATTTCCTCTCCAGATGCTCCACCCTCCCAGAACTTCCTCACGTTAAGCTATTCAGAAGCTCCCTTAATCCTGTCTTTTTTGGTTTTTATAGAGGCTTCCTTACAAAGGCATGGTTGATAAATCATTGCCCATTGATAATCAACTCAACTTTTAATCCCTCTCTCTCCATGGAGGTCAGGGGATGGTGACACAGAAAGTTCCACCCCTCTAATCACATAGCTGGTTCACTGAGTTAACCCACCCAACCCCTATCCTGGGCCTCCAGCCACCAGTCATCTCATTAGCATATAAAAAGATACTTGCCACTTCAGAGTTTCCAAGGGTTTTAGGAGCTATGTGCCAGGAAATGGGAATTTCACAATAGCATACCCATCTACTAAGCTTTTTCTTCCCCGTATTGAATTTTTTAGTTCTAAAATTTCCATTTGGTTCTTCTTGATATCTTCTATTTCTTTGCTGAGACTTTGCATTTTTTTGCTGAGTTTTATTTTTTTGTTTGTTTCAAGCATATCTGTAATTGCTCATTGAAACCTTTTTATAATGGCTATTTAAAAAATTTTTTCATCAGATAATTCTAACATTTCTATAAACTCAGTATTCTTCATTCATTTTGAGGTCTTCCTGGTTCTTGGCAGGAAGAGTGATTTTCTACTGAAAAATAGACATTTTTGTA